GAATAAATGTATGTATAAGCACATAAAAGAAGATCAGTGCGGGTTTGTAAAAGGAAGACAAATGTCAAATTTGATAGGGAGAGTATTAAATAAAATTCATTGGGCTAAAGAGGGGAAGGAAAAAGCAGGGATACTATCATTAGATATTTTTAAAGCGTTCGATTGTGTGGAATGGGAGACATTAAGGGAAATATTGAATAAATTTGGAATGGGAAATAGAATAAAAGGAGTACTAAAACAATTTTACTCAAGGAACTCAGCAGTGGTAACTATAAATGATGGAGTGACAAACGAAATAAAAGTGACTAGAGGAACTAGGCAAGGGTGCCCTTTGTCTCCGATACTATTTGCTATGGTGATAGAACTGTTTGCTAATAACATAAGGAACGATAAAAATTTAGAAGGGTTAGGAAAAAAGGAGAAACAGAAGGTGAGCTTATTCGCTGACGATACATTGTTATTTATAGAAAATATAGTGGAGAAAATGGATAGAATAAAAGAACATTTGGAGATATTTGGGAAAGCAACGGGTTTACAAGTTAATTGGAACAAGTCAGAAATGATGCTACTTAATTATACAAGAGAAGAAAAAGATTTTATAGAACAGAGAAAAATGGGAATAAGAATTAAGAATAAATTAAAATACTTGGGAGTAATAATAACTAAGGATTTAAAAGAGATAGAGGAAGTAAATGTAGTAACTTTAAGGAAAGAAGTTCAGAAAAAGATAATAGAGTACGAAGGTATACGCTTATCCTGGTTTGGAAGAATAGCATTAGTAAAAATGAAAATACTTCCAAAAATAAATTTTATATTTAGGATGCTACCACTTCAAATCACAGAAGAAGAACTAACTAGATGGCAACAAATGATTAATAAGTACTGTAATGGAAGTAAAAGAAACAGACTAAACAAACAGTTATGGTATAGATCGCAAAAGGAGGGTGGACTAGCACTACCTAATATAAAAAAATATTATGAAGCAAGTAGATTAAGTTTGGTTATAGAAGGAATGGTTAAAAAAGAGGGGATAGATTGGCTTAGTAATGATTCAGGAAAAGTGGAAGATGAAACCTGGAATATATTTTTTAAACAGTTTACTAGAAAAGAAATGAGGGAAATTAGAAACCCAATGCTGAGTAACATACTGAAAGTATGGAATAAATATAAGGGGAGGTTAATAAAGGAGGGATCAATTATAACCCCAATAGTGATGGAAAAGAAGTTCCCAAAAATTTTTAAAAAGTAATGGATAAAAAGGTAAGGGAAATAAATCTAGATAGGATAGGGGATTGGATGAAGGTGGAAATGAAGAGGGAAATGATGTTGGAAGAGTTTAAAGAAATAAAATTGTCATGGTTTCATTGTATACAATTAGAACAATGGTTAATAAACTGGAAAAAAACAATAGAAATGGAAGCCAACTCAATCAATTCGAACAAATAATACAGAAGGGAAGGGCTGTAGAAGAATATGAAAACTTGAGAGGTATAATTAGCAAAATTTATAAGATACTAATTGAAATGAAGGATGAAAAAATAAAAAAGTGTACCCTTAAGGAGATTTGGGAAGAGGATTTAGGGATAAAAATAAGTGAAATAGAGTGGCAGCAATTATGGGGACAAAGACGTTTACAAAATTTATCGATACGAGTTAAAGAAAATTATTATAAGTTAATATGGAAGTGGTACTTGACACCGGTAAGAATAGCATATATGAATAAGAATAATTCAACAAATTGTTGGAGAGGGTGTCAAGAACCAGGAACATATATACATATGTGGTGGCAATGTAAATATGTAAATAATTTTTGGGAGAAAGTATTTAGAGAAATAGAAGATATAATGAATATGAAAATAGATAAAAGTCCTAGTATAGCCTTACTATCATGATATAACAATAAGCAACTGAAAAAGGAGGATAAAGAAGCGATAACAAACTTACTAACTATAGCAAGACTTCTTATAGCAAGGAATTGAAAAAAAGAAATGAATATACAAATAGAGGAGTGGTATAAGGAAGCATGGAAAATAGCAATAAATGATAAATTGACATGTATATTAAAGGTTAAAAAGGTACATGGAAACAAAGCGATTTTGATGCTGTATGGGGAAGATTTGTGGTAAATGGATTAAAAAATAAGGAAGAAAATTACCGTCACAAGAAGAAATGAAATTTTGGACAGATGAAATGTAAGAATGGTGGCTTGAGACGGGTGGAGGGGAGCACTGTGGTGGAAAAAAGGGGGAAAAAAAGAGAAAAAGGGGGGGAAATGTCAAAGCAAAACAACAAAACAACATGTTAAAGAGGCTGATGTACAAAATGCAATAGTGTGTAATAAATGTGATAAATCAATAAAAATTAATTAAAAAAAAGGAACCACTATGTTTAAAATGTGCCTTTAAGCTAATGTTTTTTAAAACTGTTTATTGTTTAATTTGTTTATTTTGTTTTCCTTTATTAACTTGTCATTTGTTTTGTATATATTGTTTACTGTGCTTTACTCATACTGTGAGCCACCCCAAATCCTTTCAAGGAGATGGGGCGGGATAGAAATAACAATTATTATTAGTCAGGCTGGACCATGATTAATATATAAACATCGGAGGCATGTTTCTAACAAATTGATATTTGTTTCCATTTATTTGTACCATTTTACAGCACTGCTGCTGCACTATAAATTCTGCAGTTCCAGCTTCATGTCAACCAATATTTACTATTGTCAGGAACGTTGGCATTCTGCACAAAACCTTTCAATGTCTCTAACATGTTCTTGAGCCTAGAGGAATGCAAGGATGATTCTGTATGCTTCAAAGGACTTGCAATTTGACAATGTGCAATAGAAGAACCTCAGAATTTCAAGTTCTGTGCTGCAGATGTTGAGGGAATTCGACACAAGAGAAATGAACAGTGTAGGAAAAAGAAATTAGTTTGTAAAAGGGGTCCTAGACGGCTGTTAACTGTGCTCTGAAGCTACTTGCAGTCTCTTAATACATTTTTGTCAGCTGTTATGACACTTACAGAATTTTGCTTTTAAATCATTTGTTGGGGTTCTATTCCAGCAGTCAGTTTCAGCATTAAATGTACACAGAAGCTGCTAGAGCAAAAAAAGTATATTGCTAAAAGATGGCTGGCAATGTGGTGCATTTCAAAATATTCAGCACCTTGAGTCCCTTTGGAGAGATAAAATGGTTATTTTTAAATTATTATTATTATTATTATTATTATTATTATTATTATTATTATTATTCAAGTTCTACTCTCAGGTTTTTTGCTCTCAGACAATATGAACCAGACATACACTGTGTTTGGTTAACACCAAATAAGGCCACATGTTTGCAGGTCACTATTTAGAGCACTGCACTATAGTCAGACATTTTTCTACGGCTGCCAAAAATAGCAAACATTCCTACACAAATGGGGAACAGATAAAAATGATGAATGGAAGAAATTTACTCAAAAGTCAGAGTGGAACATAACAATATACATTTCTGTTTTTTAACTCAAACAGGTACCATATATTTAAGAGATATGTCAGATTCTCAAGTAAGGAACAACAGCAGCAACAGAATGCTCAGAGTGTTTATAAGGAAACTAAGAAGAAGAGTGCAAGGAAGTGATCATTCATACTTTGAGGGTTTTAAAGGGATAACAAGGAGTTCAAGAAAACCAAACTTTTCCTTCTAAATTTGGGAATCTCCAAGTCTGAAATGTAACTGCATCCATTTTTTGAATCATTTTTTTGAAGTCTAGGTGGTATTGGTGGTAAGAATGAAGAAGCCATGGTAAGGGAGGAGTAATTAACTGTGCTTATGTTTTTCACAGAATACTAAGGGTTAAATCAGGAGGATTTACACTAGTGTTGAATTCAAAAGTTCCACTTATTCAGTGGGTCTGCTCTAGTTAGAATAACTGGATCCATCCTTACATTTCTTTGGCATCAGCAGAAATTATATTTCTTAAACACATGAAATCAACTGAATCCATGGTGCTCCATTTTCCAGCAACCTTCCAGTGTCACAATGCTGCTACAAAGTAAAAGAAAACATCAGAGATGACACTATGTTCTAGATTCTCCCTTTTTCTTTTATGTTCTATTTTTGGTTAAAATGGTTGAATTTTGCCCTTTCTGTTATCAGAAGTATCTACTTGCAACACATGAAAGCATGGGAGAGGGATATGAAAAATACCAACACATTTTTCAAAGTATTTATGCTTTTAGTCTTCAAATTGTATGAGTTTTAGCTACTGTGAAAGTGGCCATCTTAAATGAACCTTTGATATATACTCATGTGATTGCTTTTGAAAAAAATGATCTAGATATGTTTATGGATATGAAATAATTTGTATTTTCACTTGTGAAAATCATACAATGTGCAAAAAATGCTTTTTTTCTTTCTCATTCTAATGAAGGCACTCCATTTTGTGTCTAACAGACAACAGACATTGACCTTGTTAAGATGTAAATCTTAAGCATGATTTAGCCTTAAGAAAATGAGCAACCGTCTGTTGAACAGATTCATGTTTTATTCCATCTTCTCTTACCATCTAAGGGAGTAAAATTGAAAGCTCACGTCTTTCATTTAAAAGGGGAAACAGGAGAAAAAAGCAGGAGCCCAAGACTCTCAACAGATTCTCATAATTTGTAACACTAATCTATGGGATACATTATGTCTGAGCTGCGTCAATGAGATGATAACAAGAAGGCCGTGGTGTGACTACTCGTGTATATGAACTATGAGGATGTGGACATACTCAAATTAACATATCTTTTTTTAAAATAACCTTGAACTAGTCACACCAGACTTGAGGCACCAATTTCATTGTAAATTTATCCTGAATTGTCAACATTCATAGTAATATATGCATTGCATTTCCAAACTGAAAAGGCATTAAATATCATAAACCAAACAAGTTATCAAGTCAGTTGCAATTCAGAACATCCAGAAAACTAGACTGGAACATATACTGTATTCCACTCCAAGAAAAAAAATGAAGGATTTTTTTCTTGAGAACCATTTTATTTTAAGACATTTGCAGGTCTAATATGCCATAGTAAATTCCATTATGAGTCAACAATAAAGTGCTGAATTAGTTACCTGAATCTTAATCGCAATTGTAGTCTTCACTTATGGTTTCCTTATCAAGTCTAAAAAGCCCTTTCTGCTGCAATAGCTAAGCTGTTGCGCAAATGTTATAAAAATAGATAGCTTTCGGTAGAGGCTATATATTTCACATTGCCTCTTGATGTTTCCATAATATGGCTGAAAGGTCTTAGAGAATAGAATGCATGCAAATTATGTGTAAGAGTTATTTTAAAATGAAGGATGGGGGCACTACTAAACTTCTGAAGCCCCTGCAGAGGGGTTCTGATTACAACCATATAATTAATTATACTAGCTGATAGCTAGATCTGGACTGACAAGCATCATGCCAACATGCTTTAGTTTCTTCCGTAGCAAAGAATCTTGAGTTGTAATTTCAAGACTATGTTTGATCTAGTTCTTCTCATTGAGTCAAATGATTAAGTTTCAGGTTAAATCTGACAAAAAAAAAACACCTCTATGTCTAGTCACACAATCAGCTCAAGCAAGACATGAGTGCAGAGGGGAAGAAGGTTGCTCATTGCCTTTCTCCACTTGCAGCAAAAAATACTGAAATAACTTTTAGACTTAATTTAAAGTGGGTTTGCCAACAAGAACACATTTTACTCCCAAATTCAGCACACATCTCTAAAAAAAATCGATAGAATGCAACCGCAGAAACAGCTTGGGGTGAAAAGTCAAATGAGGCTAGACAGCTGACTGAAGTCTTCAAAAACTGTCATGCTGTAAAAGGTGTATTTGAGAGAGAGGATTCTCTCTCTCTCGAGAAAGAAAGAGAGAGCTCTAACAAACTGCAAGAGAACAGTATCAAAGCTAAAAATGGCCAACTGATGCATAGGAATATGCCAACACACAAACAGTCATGTTCAAGCCAGTGCATAGAGAAGATAAAAGCACTTATGGTAATTGCAAATGTTAACAAGTCCATACAACTTGTATAGTTCAGCAATGAACCAATTAGAAAAAAAGTAGAATCGCTCAAGCAAGAACAAAAAGATGACTTCTCAACTATATAAAATCCACACACCAGTAAGAATAAGACAATACCACGAAAATTATTCAGTTCAGTCCCAAACAACCGACAGGCAAACTAAACCAGAGTAGACGAGCCTTTGGCAGACAATTTTAGTGAGTCCAAATATAACCTTACATTTCTAAATAATCCACAAAATATATTATATGGTGTTTGTTTTAAATACTAGGCGACTGGTTCTGCAGATCTGATTCTAATGATGCTTTAGCTAATGAGCAGGATGGACCAAGCGGAACAAATGATGGTGTATCGCTGGCATATCACAACAGTGCTTGAGAAAGCAACAGTGAAAGTTCCTAACACATGCTCCCACAGTGAAGAAGAACCTAATATCATCTATGTAGTAAAACAAAGTTCTCAAGTTTTTCTGGGATGTGCCCTTGGTAACGTATGCAATGATTCACAATGACACGGGCAGCAAGACACTGCAGTGTAGTATGGTTGATGGGCTGAATCAAATTCTTTGCCATTTCCTTCTCATCCAGCAAATCGATAGCAGTTTGTTTATGCATGTTTGTGGCATCAAAATGTGAGCCTGATTTGATAAGAAGATTCATGATATCAGGATGGTTGTTCAGTGCAGATATGTGTAATGGGCTGTTGTCATCTGAGTCTCTAGCATTGACATCAGCACCACATTCCACTAACGTAGCAGTAACTTGCAAGGAAGGAAATTTGCAAACTGGGTAACGCCCCACACATGTGGTGTTCTTGTCGACAGCAAGGTGGAGTGGGCTAAAGTTATTCTTTCCCTTAGGATGTAGCTTAAGAAATTGATATATAGTCTGCTTCTTAAAATGATCTTGTTCAGGACTACAAGGAACTTTTTCCAGCAAGCAAATTAAATGCAAGATGATGGAAAGGGCTTTGTGGAGTTGTATTTGGTCAGGTGGACATTGAGTATGTTTGATGGCACGTTCTATTTCAAGAACACTTTTGCACAGTATACCCATAAGGTCATCAAAGGTAACAGTTGTACCCAACAGACCTTTTGCCCTGTCTTGCAGCATGAAGGAGAAGAGTTCAGCAAATGACAAGAGGCTGCTTGCAGTCATTGGGCTAAGGGGGTCCAAATTGCTCTGCTGCATGTCCAGAGCATATTTCCACAGATTGATGCACCTTTTGAAGTTGCCAGAGTCTGCATAGACAGCTCCTCTGTACCGAATATAGTAAGATGTATCCGGGTGAGAAGGGCCAAGAATACGTTCTCTAATTAATAATGCCTGCATTCTCATCTCATCGGGGTCTGCAATTAGGTTTTCCAACTCTTCAGTACTGTTCACTTCCTTGGCATAATCGTAAGCCATTATTAACGCCTGAGGCACAGGCTTGCTGAGGATGTTAGTCCTATCACTGTACCTCATATCCATAGCTCTTTTCCAGTATTTTAGAGCACCAAGCAAATCTCTCTTTTTGTCCACAAATGTGGCTCCTAGAAGTTCCAGTGCATTGATGCGTTCTGCTTTGCTTGTCTCCACATGTTGGGTCAAGAAGTCAACAATGTTTGTGTGCCCTGTAACACTTGCAGAAAGAAGAGGAGTCATTCCATAACCATCTTTTTCCATCTTTGCACAGTATTTGAGAAGCATCTTCATTATGTCCAGACTACCAGATTCTGCACAGTCATGCAATGCTGTGTTTCCTGTGGAGAGAGGGAAAAGAGGAAACCAGTGATCATGCATACTGTACTGTGAAACATTTTCAGAGCACGATTACGCCTACTTTAAACACCTACTAAAATGCTTCTACAAATGACATATAAATTATCTAGTAGGCTTACTTCTGAAATAATTAAGATGATAAAGTTACAACTCATAAACAAATATTTTGTGAGTGGACCAATATTCAAAGGTGGTATTTTAATTTATGGCATTAACATGTCAAAAGGGCCACCTCCTTTTTTAGTCAATTGAATAACCTTCACACTTGCTTTTTACAAAAATAATTGGTCATGAATATTTGGGCTTTCATGTTTGCCAGCTCAAAAACAACAGCCTTTCATCAAAATTTCCTAACGCAGCTGTTCTATTGGAAATCTTCCTGTAAAGCATTCTTCCACATTCTCCTAATAAACATTCTTTAACAATTCACCCAGCTGTGTCGAAAGTATTAATCGTGCCGAAACAAGCAATCTCTGGATGGAGATAAAAGAAAGCCCTTTCACCTAAGAGATTCAAGTTTTTGTTTTATTTTGTTTGCCTCTGAAGCCAATGAGACCACAGTCAAGTGAACATGAGAGTTTAAACTGGGCAAGATTCTGGAAGGGAAGGCCATATAGGTGAGTAATGCTTATTTTCCTCTGGGAAACAAAAACATGTATTGTGGCACAGCTTCGGCTAGATCTCATTGAACCTAACAACTGCTCTCGATCCCACCACTATCGCAAACACGGTTGATGGGGACAAGAGACAGGGCCTTCTCATCAGTGGCCCCCCGTCTATGGAATGCCCTCCCTAGAGATATTACATTGGCCATCTCCCTCTTGTCTTTTAGAAGGAAAATCAAGACCTGGTTATGGAACCAGGCATTTGATCAGTGAGCAGCAAGTGGAAAAAAAATCACACAACTTATGGCAATGAATTGACCCGAACTGGTTTTGGAATTCGATTTTAATAAATGTGTCTGAATTAATTGTTTTAATTGTTGTTTTAATTTTTAATATTTTGATTGTACTGTGGTTGTTTTTATGATGCTAGCATCGTATGATGCTTTTGTTAGGCCGCCCTGAGTCCTCCTTTGAGGAGAGAAGGGCGGGGTATAAATATAGGAAATAATAAATAAATAAATAAATAAATAAATAAATAAATAAATAACAGTATTATAAATATTCATTTCTAATTTTCATTTTGTTGAAATCTAACTTTCTCCTGTAACGCAGCGATCAAGTCTCTCCAGGAGGACTCTATTCATAGTGGTCATATTCTTAGCTGCCCACAGTTCTGTAGCCAAACCACTCCTCCCCAATAAAATATTCATGCCTGAAAGAAAAATATTCCAATAAGGTTCATGTGAACCAACAGTGCAGAAATTGACAGTTCTGCCATTACAAAATCACAAGTCTTCAGTGCACCTTGTAGGTTTTCAGCCAACAGATGCCAAGATAAGTGAAAGAGCTATCTAAATAAATAAATACCTGAGTGAAAGTAGTATCAAAAGTCATTTAATAGCAAGTGGATACTTCAGCATTCAAGCCTAACACTTTAATGATGGGCTTGAGTTCTTGTTAGCAAGTAGATCTGATTGTAAATAACCACCCAATGGTAATTGGCAAATATCATCACAATACCTATGCATCTAATTAAGTTACTGAAACAAAAGGTCAAAATGCTGAATTATGTCCAATACATTCATATATAACCTTTGTAAAAATCCCAAGTAGTTAGCCTGTTAATGGGAAGGGAAAATCTGGATACTTATTTGCAAATAAGTTAACATGTGGATGCCCACACACAGCAAATTACTGCAAAGACATCCTGCCAAATATGATGCATTTTTACTAAGAAAAATAATCCTGCTATCTTCAATAGAGCTTACTCCATGATCATTTTAATCTGGGCCTGCACAACCGGTGGCTCTCCAGTTGTTCAGGCCTCCAACTCCTGAAACCCGAGCCAGCTTGTTCAATAGCTAGGAAGTCTGGGAGCTGATGTCCAAAATGTCTGGAGGGCCAAAGATTGTGCAGGCTTGTTTTAGTCCACTATTTCTTTGGTCACCGGTGGTTGTTTCAGGTATCTTAATGTATTCTCACTGTTTTAATGGGCATTGTTTTATTGTTAGCCATGTTAAGTCCCTATACAAAGAGAAAGACAGGTTAAAAATAAATAAATAAAATAAATATTTGGAATTAACAACTGGATTCAGCCCTATATAAAAACAGCAACACTGTTTCCAGCAGGTTGTTGCCTGCCTGGCTCATCTAACTACTAGTAGATGTACGCTATGATGTCACAGAATATTGTCACATTCCAACTCCTGGAAAGCTTTCAACTCAAGCATGTTTATAAATAGTGCTGCTCCTTCAAAGGAAATAAAACATCTAGGAAATTGCTCATATCAAACCCAGAGACAGTGTGCAACAGAGCCAGGGTAAAAAAGTGGAGACATTTATGGGAAGGTATTCAAGAAAATAGTAAAGTTAAGAAAGTACAAAGCAGAATAATTTAGGAAAAGGAAACAGACTTGGGAATGTCAGTGAAAAATCATTGCATTTCAAATCCAAGAAGATTATTGGTATTTGCCCCCCTTTGCAATGTGTTTAAATGCAAGGGGCTCCTTCAACAGCCACAACATACATAACTGTTACATAATAATGCAGCCAACAAAAGCATTACATTGGGATCACATCTACTCTGAACTTTGGGAATGTATCCTACACCAATTAAACATATCGCTCAATGTGATAGAATTTTACATTTTTCCACACAATTGGGCAGTCAGTCCAAAATGTACACAGAATATCTTAAGGCTGACAGGTAACTAGAGTCGCCCAGTCTACAAGCCAAAACAGCAAGAATGTTCTTTTTGCAAGCATGTATTTGTCTTTTGAAAACAGCCACCAAGTATTTGCTGCTATTTATAACTTTGCACAAAGTAAGATTTAAAAAGAGATAGTGTGCAATGGTTTCCCTTGTACTGAGATGTTACTTAATAGCATTTAAACTAATCCTTATTTTTCCTTGTTAAAATTCACTGCACAAATGAAAATACTATATATGCCTAACTACATATTTGTGGCACCCTGGATAACAGTCATTATACTATCTTGACTATAACTTTATGAAAATTATGATTTATGAATTAATAATTTCCTGTCTGAACCACTGTATTTTGTATCTTAACCCCATATGCAGTTACCTGGTAGTAATTCCACTGAAAACAGACATGTATATGATGGTACTGTGAAAGATTTAACTCACATTCTCATGGCCAGACTACACTACCACTTCAGTACTGTACTTACAGGAAAAAATATGCAGGCCTTGGTAATATCTGAGAGGCAGCATGGTACAGTGGTTTGAACACTCTGGAGACCAGGGTTCAAATCCCCACTCAGCCATGGAAATCTACTGGGCAAGCTTGAACAACTCATGGTCTCTCGGCCCCAAAGAAAGACAAAGGCAAATGCCCTCTAAATAGATCTTGCTCCACCAAAAAAACCTCCAAAACCCCCGTAAGTCAGAAACAACTCAAAGGCACACAACTCATGAAGGTAAGTAACGTCAGCTAATAAGTCACAAGGACTATTTAGTTCAAAGGAAACATGAAAAAGATCAGAGTGTGTATATTTGTCTCAATTTTCTCATCATTGCAATACAAACAAGTTATCCAGAGTTAGCTTTATCATTGGGCAGAGTGAGGCAGCCACGTTGGGCAGCAAATGTGGAGTAGGAGCAGAGGGACAATGAGATGTTAAAGGATTGATATATGAGAGCTATAGCAGCTTGCCTTTCATCCCTTGGGTTGGTCTGCTGTCTTCCAGGCATTAAAAAACAGTCCTCTGAAGAACACAGTAACTGAATTCCTAAAATGGGATGAGGTATCATCTTGTTCTTTATATCACACAGCAAATTTTCTTGGATGAGCTCTGATATTACTTTAACTGCATAGGCTGTTGTGTTGTACAGTTCATATTTTTACCTTCTTTATCCCTAAAACTCTCTACTATAGAGGCAACGTAACATTTTCTTTGTCCTTGAATAGAAAAGGTTTAATTTTTTGGACACTGCATAAATTGCCATGGGTAGATTCAAGTATTAATCATAATTCATAGCAATTAACCATAATGATGGCAGGTTTATATATACGCAGCATGATTTATGAGGACAGGATTCACATGTTTCTTTCTGGCTTTAAAATATCTTTTAGCATACGCTCTCTCACACACTATACAATATTATGTGCCCGTTTACTAAGATCTTACTTTTTATAGTTAGCTATAAAAATAAATGTAACAGTAATGGTGATACCTAGAGCATTAAAGCATAACTTAACAAACCTATTGTTTTAAAAGCCCAAGAGCAGTTATAGTGAACGAACATGGTTCTCCACATATTTCCAAGGATAATCTTTAAAGTCATCTTTCTTCAAACACATGACTTTCAGATGTGTTGGACTACAACTCCCATCAAGGTCAACCAATATACCGTGGCCTGCTAGGGATGGTAGAAGCAGACCAAATAAGAGGACCTAAATATCTGGAAGGCATCTACTTTGCTATTCTAAATATCTGAAAAAGGTAGCCAGAAACAAAAGACCCCTGAAAAAAGATGATGGTCCTCTTATCATCAACATCACAGAAAGAAACATATGGACTGAAAAAATGCCCCCTACAAGTATTATGTAAGATTGACTTCTTTTATCACCCTTGTCAGATTTCCCTTTAATCTCCAGGTTACTGCTATCTTCTGGCCAGAAAGCCACCAAGACTGCAATCTTTTACATACTGGCTTGTCAGTAATTTGAGTGGAACTTAGTGGGGTTTATGTCTGGACAGTCATGTTCCTGATTGCATTGTTAATGAAGACAGGTACATTTATTTGGGGAAATGAAGTTGCTTTAAATGTTTCCTTGAACTGACAGATACTTTTAAGACTTAGTTTGATACCACTAGCAAAATCTGCTGCATACTGCCAACAATTACAGCTCATACTTTTTATGACCTGATATTTATTTGATTTTATATCCTATCTTCCTCCCAAAATGAGATTTAATATGCCTCATTATATGAAACATTTAAATCCCATAGCAAAGTTTTGAAAGGAGAAATTGAGATCCAGTTAGTACTCACATCCAATCTAAATAAATGCTGTATTGGATATAAGTATTACCATAGGAGAAACAAACACTATACTGTCACTCCAAAAGTCCCCAGTTTAGCTAGCAGCAGTGGGAGCAGAAGAAATCAACTGCTTCTGTTAATAGTTACAAAAGTATTTATTTCAGGAACTGGATCAATTTCTTATAAACAAATACAAAGAATAATGACTCAACTGATATTTATTAATGCAGTTACTTTCCCACTGATCAGAGAGAAGGGAAAAGAATTATAGCCAAGAGTTAGCAACTCCTGAACTTCCCTTTTCCACAAGCCACTAGTGTCATACTCCAGTGACTGAGAATACAAACAAAATGTCCATGTACTCCTCCATCATGTCTTCAATAATCCAAGTATTCTACTAATTATAAGAATCCATGGCTATATTAAATTTCAGTTGCTATGCTAAAATGATCTTGAGAATGTATCACAATATAATAGAAGAAAGTTTAACTCTGCTGCAAAATGTCACATCATCTATCCACTCTACTAATAAAAATAAAATTCCATTCTCATTGCTATAAAGGGCAGGGCTTCTGTTTCACTTATGGGTCACTCATAAAAACATTGAAGACACACAACAGCAGCAGTTCACAGAACATGAGCAAGTCTGTCAAAAACATGCTTAGAATTTCTATAATGCTGTAGAATGCTGCAAGCATTTCTTTTAATTGTCTTGAGGGAACCCTTACTAAAACCCAGTCAGGTAAGTCAGTATTATTACCACCACCACTACTGACGTATTCTGTAGAATGGAGAGATTACCACACCAAACTGAACTGCAACCTTCCTGATTTGTCTGCTGAGTTAGTCATGCACTAAGCAAACACATTGTCACACAACACTTTATTACACAATGGTCATGATCTGGTCAAAGTGAAGCATTTCTAAATCACAATGATTTCACTATGAATTAAATGCATGCTTAAATCTCCCCAAAATATTATACCTAATATTTTTAGGCTGATAAGATAGGGACAAATGAATCTAATTCAGAGACAGGCCAGGAAGAATCTTATGGGTGGCTTCCTGATGTGGACATAGCTATAAAATAAAATGTGTGACAAATAAGAAAAAGATTGAACTAAAAAGAACAGCACACTCACACTGGAATAAAAGTTCAAGGTAAAGTAACTATAAAACTTTAAACTGCAGGGGGGGGGGGTACTAAATAATAATGTTATATTAACCATTAAAAGAACAAAGTGACATTGGTCAATATTGCCCTCTTGTTCTGTTTTTAAATTCCAATCACAGATATAAACTGATAATTGATTCCTTTGCAACAAAGTTTTTAATTTCAGTTAAATAATGAGTGAAGGTGTGTTTAAAAAAGTCAAGACAACACTCTGTCTATTTGGACTGTTTCTTCCACTCAATAAAGCAAAAAAAAAAAAAAAATACCAAATGGATTTATACCACATCAGTCCACAGAGCAACATATTCACAAAGTCTAGCTTCAGTTTCCATTATATGAACAACACTATTAAGATATAGACAAAAAAACATGGTTAAGCTTGCTATCTTTGAGCCTTCAACCCCTTAGCTGTCAAATTAGATGCACGTTCTTAGTAAAACTAAAAGTATATTCACTTTGCTGAAAATTGGTACTAAACTCACCTTTGACACTTTTTCTGTTTACGTCAGCTCCTTTCTCAAGCAAATATTCAGCAATTTCTTTATGTCCTTTGTAACAAGATATCATAAGGCATGTATGCCCATGGCGATTTGATACTTCCAAGTCAGCTTTATGTTCCACAAGATACTTCACAATGTCTAGGTGGCCATCAAAACAGGCAGCTCTAAGAGGTGTTGAGTTTGTCAAAGTTGTGTTGTTGACAGATGCGCCATGATTTAACAGAGACTGAACCACCTTCAAATGGCCAGCCGCTGACGCTGCCCATAATGGTGGGGCACCTTCAATAGTCTCACCATCAAAATTCACAGAGCCACCAACTTCTATTGAAGCACTGCAGTGCTCTAGTAGATGTTCCACCATGTCGAGATGCCCATAGCGAGCTGCCATGAGAAGAGGTGTGGCTCCGTTCGTTTTTTCTGACATCAGCAAAGCCACCTCTTCTTTACTTTTATTTGCCAGCAATTTGGTGAGCAGCCGCAGCTTGCCATCACGAGCTGCGTTAAATACAGCTGTCTTTAGATCCATTTAGTCTTTTCCTCTCACTTATACTTGTTCTTCAGAATCACAAGTAGCAGAGTAAGTGGAACCACAGTTGAAGCCAGTCCATGCAACCTCTCTGTGTAGTGCATGAATTTTTACCATGTGATCTCTCAAAGCAAATATTACGCTCAGTTTCCTAGACAAGAAAAATGAAGAATAAAAACTTTTGAGATATTTTCTCTTTGCTTTTAAATGAAATCACTCAAAACAATATATATGCCCTTGCTTACAAAGGCCCAAAGTTCTTCCCCTGTGTACCATGAGCTCTCCCCTATGAAAAGGAAATGACAGTTGGAGTCAAAGGCTCCATCATACCAGTGGTTCTCAACCTGTGGGTTCCCAGATGTTTTGGCCTCCAACTCCCTGAAATTCCAGCCAGTTTACCAGCTGTTACGACTTCTGGGAGTTGAAGGCCAAAACATCTGGGGATCCACAGGATGAGAACCAGTGATGTATACTAACCATTTAATGCAGTTTCAAACCAGTATTGAAATGATCTCTATATCTAGAGATCACTGTGGACTCAAACAATGATGGATCTGGACCAAACTCTACACGAATACTCAATATGCCCAAATGTGAACACTGGTGGTTTAGGGAAAATAGAATCTTGACATTTGGGAGTTGTAGTTGCTGGGATTAATAGTTCACCTACAGAGAGCATTCTCAACCCCACCAACGATAGAATTGGGCCAAACCACCCACACAGAACCCCCATGTGAGCCACAGCAACACGTGGCAGGGGACGGCTAGTAATATAATATATTGTATGTGTATGTGTATATATATATATATGTGTGTGTATATATATATATATATATATATATATATATATATATATATATATCTTGTAAGCCGCTCTGAGTCCCCTCCGGGGTGAGAAGGGCAGCATATAAATGTCGTTAATAAACAAATATTAAAGGGACAGACCCCTTCCAAACAGCTGAATAAAATCCCACATTATCACCCATGAACTGGAATATATGGCAGTGTGGACTCATATAACCCAGTTCAAAGCAGATATTTTGGGATACAAGGTGGTGTGAAAGGGCCCCGAGTGTCGATAGAGCCTGAGAAGTTAGCTCTAGTCTTTTCAGACACTATTTGTGTTACTATGATTTATTGTTTATTTTTGTTATGGGATTTATATTAATTGTATTGCTTTGTTTTGTTTATTGATGTATTATGGGCTTGGCCTCATGTAAGTCACACCGAGTCCCTTGGGGAGATGGTAGCGGGGTACAAATAAAGTATTATTATTATTTGCCAACAAGGGATTGTGGCAAAGTCACACGGCTGTGGCTGCGACCTGAAAGCAACGCCTAAAACTATCAGGCTCAATGCTGTGGAATCCTGGGAGGAGTTGCCGTTTCACAAGACTTCATTACCCAATGAAGTCTTGCCGTTCAAAGCGGGGTCGCACTGTAGGACAGGCCTGGGCAAACTTGGGCCCTCCAGGTGTTTTGGACTTCAACTCCCACATTCCTAACAGCCTCAGGCCCTTCCTTTTCCCCCTCAGCCGCTTAAGCGGCTGAGGGGGGAAAGGAAAGGGCCTGAGGCTGGTTAGGAATGTGGGGGGTGGAGTCCAAAACACCCTGGAGGGAGAAAGAGGGCCCAAGTTGGCCCAGGAAGGGGCCAGAAAATTGGAAATTTTGGAAGTCCAAAAAAAAAACACCGCTGAGGTGGGGGTGAAAAGGAAAAAAACCATCCAGAATTTTTTTGGTGGGGGGAGTTGGAAAGTTATCAAACTATTTTCTGAGGGGGAAAAAAAGGAAAAGGGGCCTGGAGGGGCGGTTAGGGAAAATGGTTGGGAGGGTTGAAGTTCCAAAAAACCCACCCGCGGAGGGGGAAAAGGGGTGGGAAAAAAAGGGGGCTGATTGGCGGGTTAGGGGAAATGGTGGGGAGTTGAAGGTCCAAAAAACAAACTGAGAGGGCACAAGTTGGTTTCCATGGGGCCTAGTGTCGGGAGAACAAGGGGGGGGGGGTGGGGGGAACAGGGCCCCTAATGGAAAGGCTGAGGGAAAGAGAAGCCAAGGCCGGGCCAAGAAGGGAAGCAGGGAAGGGAGGCTCCAACTACCTTCTCTCAGCGAAGGCGGCGGCGGTGGGGTGGCTCTCGGAGCGGCTACAGGCGCCGCGCCCCGCTGCCAGCGCAGCTCCTCCATGACAGGCGCTCCTCCTCACCAGTCGCCGAACGGACGCGGAACTCAACGCAACCAACCCTGCTACCTCCCGCCCTCGCGTTCTCCTCTTGGTCCTCTCCTTCCTCCGGCCCAATGGGGAGCGAGGGAAGGGGCGGGGCGAAGGGGCAAGCTAGGCTGAGAGCGCGCGCACGGAGGAGGAGGAGGAGGAGGAGGAGGAGGAGGAGGAGGAGGAGGAGGAGGCGGCGGCGGTTGGAGAAAGGGGCGGGGCGCTAAGGGCGCGCGACGCCTGCCTGTCTTCACTGCCTTTTCCCGGGGCGGGATTAGCACATAATGGCGGCACTTGACTACGTTGCGGAGTTCACTCACTCTTGACCCCGCTTGAGCTGCCCTGGCTCAGTGCTGTGGAAGCCTGGGAACCGTGGTTCGCTGAGTGAGTAACACGTGACAAGCAGAACATGATACAGGATGCCTTGGAGAGAATACCAGGGGCTGCTAAACACACACACACATATACACAAAGGCCTGCTTCCAAGGGTCCCTGTATCCACATATATAAGTCTGGAAATCAAAAGAAGAAATCTGGGTTGACTTATCCACAGGTCAATGTAATTATTGTACCATTTATTTATTTATTTATCGTGTCAGCAGCAACCAGACATTTGTATTACATTTTTTAAAAACAAACAAACAAACAGTCAAAACACAAAGTTTGCAAGCTTGGTAGTTGATTAAGTGTCCTTTGACCAGTATCTGGCCACTTAGAGTGCCTCTTATTTATTTATTTATTTCGGGTACTTTTACCCCGCCCTTCTCAACCCCCAAGGGAGGACTCAGGGCGGCTTACAAAAAGGCACAATTTGATGCCTATACAAATTACACATAATATACAAAACCATAGTTAAAACCATTATCACAATCACAATTAAAACAATCAAAACATCAATATACAACACATCATATAAACAATTCACATGCTCAGCATTCGTCTTTCAGAGTTCCGATTTCCATTCCATTAGTCATTTCCTGGCCATTGCCAAAGTCCTTTCTTTATCTGCCCGATTGTCTGAATGCCTGGTCCCAAATCCAAGTTTTCAGTTTTTTCCTGAAGGAAAGGAGTGATGTCGCTGATCTGATTTCCCCGGGGAGTGAATTCCACAGGTGGGGGGCCACCACCGAGAAGGCCCTGCTCCTCGTCCCCGCCAACTCACTTGTGATAGAGGCGGGGTCGAGAGCAGGGCCTCCCCAGAAGATCTTAGACTCCGGGGTGGGACGTAGAGGGAGATCCGTTCGGACAGATACACTGGGCCGGAACCGTATAGGGTTTTGTAGGTCAAAACCAGCACTTTGAATTGTGCTCGGAACTGGATCGGCAGCCAGTGGAACTGGCATAGCAGAGGGGTGGCTTCAAACTACAAGAAAGGAGATTCCATCTGAACATGAGGAAGAACTTTCTGGCTGGCTTCTCGCTAATAGACTAGGTTGGAGTATCCCAAACAGTCTTCAAAGGGCAAAAAACCCCCAATGTTAAATGTCCTTTGACCAGTATCTGGCCACTTGGAGTGCTTCTGTTGTTGCTGCAAGGAGGTCCTCCATTGTGCATGTGGCAGGGCTCAGGTTGCATTGCAGCAGGTGGTCAGTGGTTTGCTCCTCTCTCGCATGATTCCACTTTGTAGCCCCATTTCTGAAGGTTGGCTCTGCATCTTGTGGCGCCAGAGCGCAGTCTGTTCAGCGCCTTCCAAGTCGCCCAGTCTTCTGTGTGCCCAGGGGCGAGTCTCTCATTTGGTATCAGCCATTGGTTGAGGTTCTGGGTTTGAGCCTGCCACTTTTGGACTCTCTCTTGCTGGGGTGTTCCAGCGAGTGTCTCTGTAGATCTTAGAAAACTATTTCTTGATTTAAGTCATTGACGTGCTGGCTGATACCCAAACAGGGGATGAGCTGGAGATGTCACTGCCTTGGTCCTTTCACTATTGGCTGCTACTTCCCGGCGGATGTCAGGTGGTGCACAGTGTAATTTCTCCAGTGGTGTAGGGCGCAGACACCCTGTGATAATGCGGCATGTCTCATTAAGAGCCACATCCACTGTTTTAGCGTGGTGAGATGTGTTCCACACTGGGCATGCATACTCAGCAGCAGAGTAGCATAGCACAAGGGCAAATGTCTTCACTGTGTCTGGTTGTGATCCCCAGGTTGTGCCAGTCAGCTTTCGTATGATATTGTTTCTAGCACCCACTTTTTGCTTGATGTTCAGGCAGTGCTTCTTGTAGGTCAGAGCACGGTCCAGAGTGACTCCCAGGTATTTGGGTGTGCTGCAATGCTCCAGTGGGATTCCTTCCCAGGTAATCCTCAGAGCTCGGGATGCTTGTCTGTTCTTAAGGTGAAAGGCACATGTCTGTGTTTTAGATGGATTAGGGATCAGTTGGTTTTCCCTGTAATAGGCAGTAAGAGCACCTAGAGCTTCGGAGAGCTTCTGTTCTACCATTCAAATAAGGTAATGGGATTATCTACCCTTTTGGATATTCTGGGGAATAAGGCTTGTGTGGAAAGGGTCTCCCAATTTCAAAAAAGGCAGAATTATTGTTTTTGGGATGTTTGTCGCCTGATATTATTGGGTTTATAGGCTTGTTGTTGGAAGGGGGCCCTTCGATCAAATCAGGGCCTCTGGCTGAAAACTCCTATAAGAACGCCAACAAAGGGCAAAAAAACAAAAAAAACTTTAGATTCAGTTTGGTTTCCCATAATTCATCGGAGAGGAGAGGGGGGGGGGGGGACTTTTCACTTTGGGCCCCTCTTACAACCAGTTTGAAGAAAAATCCCACAAAAATCTGGCTTTGGAAATTTTTGGAAAATTATATGGCAGGTTGGGGTTCCTGGGGGGGGACTGTCCCAACCATAGGCCAGGAATATCAAGCAGAAAATCCCAACAATACTGCTTTGAACTGGATTTTCTGAGTCCACACAGCCCTATATTCCAGTTCAAAGCAGATAATGTGGGATTTTATTCAGCTGTGTGGAAGGGCTGTCAGATAACCCAGGGCCCTTCCACACAGCCCTATATCCGAGAATATTTAGGCAAAAAAATCCCACAATACCTGCTTTGAACTGGGTTATCTGAGTCCACACTCAGATAATGTGGAATTTTCTCCCTTGATATTCTGAGATACAGAGCGGTGTAGAAGGTCCCCCAGTTTAAAACAGATATTGTGGGATTCTCTGCATTGATCGTCTGGGTTATAGGGCTGTGTGTGGAAGGGCCCTTCGACAAATCAGGCCTTAACTCTCCCTAGAAGCCAAAAGGACAAAACTTCGGTCTGTACTTCCATATCATGAGAGATAGAGAGATGACTCACTTTGGCTCCACCCACACAGCTGAATAAAATCCCACATCTTCTTTGAATTGGAATATATGGCAGTGTGGTCTCAGACCTTCCATATAGCCAAATAACCCAGAATATCAAGGCAGAAAATCCAACAATATCTGCTTTGAACTTGGATATCTGAGTCCACACTGCCATATATTACAGTTCAGAGCAGATAATGTGGGGTTTTATTCAGCTGTGTGGAAGGGCCGTTGGAAGCCGCCCTGAGTCCCTCTTTGGAGGTCAAGATAGGACGGGATACAACTGTTCTAAATAAATAAATAATAAATGAACTCCTATGCAAGGAGATACTGTATTTTATAAAGGTGCAAAGACTGTAGGAATTTCAGTCCAGCATGTTGTGGGCCTTGCTGAAAAGTTACCTTATTGGTCTTTAAAGTTTACCTTTGTCATCGAAGATCAAAAACGTAGATGAGGGATGAAAATTGACATTGGATGTGAGAAAGGGTGCCTGTGCTCTTTCTTAAGGCACCCAGGCAATTTTTTAGAGACCAGTCTATGCTGAACAAAAAAAGAAACTCTGTTGCAAGAACTGTTACATTACAATTTTCAGAGGTAAAGCTGTTATAATAATCCAGTTTTTCCTGGTGATAGAATAGGACAATCTATACTTAGATGTGTCTGCTGAATGTGATAAGAGTAATTGTTGTTGTGTGCCTTCAAGTTATTCCCAACGCCTGATAACCCCAAAACAAATCCTTTCATGGTTTTCTGGTGCTAAGTGTTTGACTTGCCCATAATTTTTAATGGATTTCCATGGTTGAGTGGGGAATCAAACCCTATTTGTAGGATCATAGTCCAATGCTCAAACCGTTATACCACAATGGTTCTGATAGAGTAATGGGTGTTTACTGTAGGCCACCGATGGGAATCTTTTGGCCCTCAGGTTGTTGTTGGGACAGCAAGTAACAGCAGCTGTAGACAGCCCAGCCAACAGGGAAGAATGCTGGGAATTATAGTTCAGCATTCCAACCACTGGGCTTCTTGAACAGCTAACTGCATAGAATTAGGAAAGGCAATATCCTTAGAAAAGTCACATCCTACTTTTTTGAAGAAGAAGAAGATGGTAGTTGGATTCAAGGATAAATCTCAAAACAACATTGGCTCTTAGAGTCATCAAGCAAATAGAAGTATACTGCAAAACTCTTTATGTTCAGTAGTATAGTAATTTTTAAAAGCATATTCAGTACTTTGCTTTAGCAGGGTCCTTGAGTAGATGATGCCAGATAGAAAGCACAGCAGTGATCAACATGCACTATTACAAGAATAACCTGAAGGGCAGATGATTATTCTAATGAACCCAGATTGTAAAAACACTCAAGATGCACAAGACAAGATGGAAAAACCCAACAGAGTATCTAGCTAAGGGGAAGTAAAAAACATACATTCCTTTGAATATGATATGAAGTTGAAATTCACAGTAGCATAAAGTTCTAGCTGGAAGAGAGGTGGCTTTGTTTTAAGTTCTTATGACTGGATTTTTCTGCCAGTTTTACTATCTTATCAACTTTACAAGTTGAGAATAAACATGAGTCACTTTCTTTTCCCAGTTAATCCCACTTTGAACAGGTCCTGCTCCATGCCCTACCAGTGACAAAAGTATCCTTGGTTTCCATGTTAAAGAGGACTTTCTCTGTTATTCCCAGCAACTGATAACATTCCACTACTTTTGATGACATTTTGGGTTTAGTATCCAGAAAATATATTTAGTGATGCTATTGGT